AGAACTAAATATTAAAGAAATGTAAAAAAGAATTGGTTCCCAGCATTTGCATTTATTTAATACATTGTGATGTTTAAAAAGTGACCACCGGGATGAAACTTTAAAGTGCAGAATACAACAAAGCATAAGATGGGTGGACTGAAACGTAAAAAAAAAATCTTTTTAACAAGAAACATTCATAATAAAATAGCCTAATATATTTAAAACAACAAAAGAGATTGTAGAAAACACATTGAACTGCTCTAAAAGTATAGCTTTATTTTTAAGAGCCTCAGTCTTTTGGGAACTTATCTTAAGTGTCTGTGTGTGCAGCAGACCTGTCTTTATGGTCATCCCTTTAGCTATGGGCCAATCACTGAAATCCACTTTTACAGTCTACACTTCCGTAGGACTAGTGATGTTTTATAGTATAGTCCACCTTGCAGCTCTGCACAAGTTATTTTAGCATCCAGGGACAACAAAACTTAATGTAAAAGCCAACATTGAAGAGTTCGCTGCTGCACGTTTATTACTTTTATGTTAATCCGTACTCGCACGCTGTTCAATCGTAGCTTTTCCTCGACTGCTTACGCCCACATCGCATCGACAAAGTGGCGGAAACCATGGAATGAATCTCCACTACCTTTGGTCATAAATTCATCCTCTTTTGTCCATTCTCGGTTAAACGACGTCCTGGTTTTGACAGGATGCTAACTTTAATACTTAGCATCAGTAATTCTGATCCTTGTTTACTTTTGTAACCAATGACAAGCAGATCTTTGTCTGACACGTCGCCACTCTTAGCCAATCATCTGTTAGATCAGATAGTGATGCATTTTTGACGATTGGATATTGGGCTGCAGCCCAGCAAAAAAATAAATAAAAATAAAAATCTGCTCTACAAGCCTAGTGCCTTATAAAGGAGGACAAATACACGTCCGGCTCGATGAGGCACCGGACGCCGGACGGTGTAATGAAAATCCAGACTGTCCGTCCTAAAGCTGGACATCTGGCCACCCTAACCAAAAACCTAATAGGTCACCTGAAAAATGGTCATTGATGTTAAGCAATATGGAAATAGTACGAAGCAGCGCGCTGGCAACCAGCAGTGCTAAGGCTAAGACAAAAACAACAACACAGAGGACAGGGGTCTCCAGTCAGAAGGCTTTTTAAAGCAGTAAAAACTTTTCAGGAGAAATGAGAAAAGGCTAAAGCTAACGACAAAGTGATGGAAATTATAGCACTCAACAACCAGCCTTTTTCTGATCCGGGTTTTTGTAACTTGATAGCACTTTTGGAGCCATGTTACACCATCCCAAGTCACACAACACCCATCCACAACTTTGCTGTGGTTATTCTTGAGGATGCACTGTTTTAGATTGCATTTTTTGTTACTGAGTGAATGTTAATGGATATAATTTTATTTACTGAACTTCACAAATACCTCTGCAGTAAAACCGTAGATCGGGTCAATATTTAATTTTCAAGGGATGCACTTTGTGTTTCAATTGAATTTTCTTTTACTGTTGGTGATTAAAGCAAGAGACCACGGTTTTATGTGATGACAAGAAAAAGAGTCAAAACCTCTTATTCTCTATTATAGATAAGCCAGAGTTATTAAATAATTTGTTTTTCAAAGCGGTATCCACCACAAGCTCCAGATTATGCAAAAAATTATATTGAATTTGAACTTATTGGTATCAGAATCAGTAGCAGCCATGAAAAGCTAAAATTGTCAGGTGAATTATCAGGTGTCGGTTGAAATTGTTAAAATCGTGCATCACTAGCTTTTAAGGGTTGGGTGTTTGGACACTTGTTGAATTTGAGACAAACACTAACTCTAATTTATTTGTTTTCATGCGCATTACTAATGGTTATTTTTTTAAACTTTTCATATCCATTTAATCTGTGCAAAGGGAATATTTCCTTTTTAGAAAGGTTTTTCATAGAAAAGTAATTAAAAAACAAGTTTTTTTTAAACTAATCAATAGAATAAAGTTACCCTTTCAGCATAAATAAAGGTATATTAGGTATTTACCCCTTTGAAGATCAGTATATTCACTACATGAAATACAATGCAACTGAACTTGAAACGGCCAAAAGTGCAAATTGTTCAACTTACAGTTTGGTGGGATAAATTCCATGCTCCAGCCTCGCTGCTCAGTTCTGATATTATATTCTACAATAAAAGTATAACAACGCACCGTAAGATGAACTTCCAATTCATCGAAGCAACACATTTTTTTAAATAAATAAACATAACTTCGGAAATGTTTCTATGGAATGCTTGAATATTGTGGGTTTTTTACATTGGTAAATGCAACCTTACCAGCTTCATTAGCAGCAGCAGGCGCCACATCATATAGGCCTAAATTAGCTGTAAGAAAAAAGTTAACATTTTAGTCAACTGTCAAATTCATTTGCGCAAAGCTATGTCAACAAATCACACAGGATCAGTAAAAGCTATTTTTTAATTTTATTTCTGTCTTTAAAACTTACTGTTATCCTCAGTTACCAGTCAGCCTTAATGTTGGATGAGAAGCTGTTTAATTGTACTACTGAACATTTCCTATTCTATCTACGTTATTCCCCTGTATTTGTAATGCTTTATCATTTATGGATGTTTCTCATGATCCATCCATTAAACATATTTTTAATATTAAGAATATATGATTGCTGAAGAACAGCATAAGACAAGAGAAGCACGCATCATTTAGGTGTCAGTAAAGAACAACAACACTTTACCTGAATTATACTGTAATATTTTCCAATTTTCTTTTAAGCATGACTCCTTGTTTTAAATCAAATATATGTGTTTTAAGATTGGTTTTGATCATTTATATTCTTACATATGTAGGATGTGATAAGATATCATTTTATTCTACTTCAAAGATAATCACTGTGTGGGAAATGCAGATGGTGCTTAAATCATCAATAGCTGGTATGGGTTCCCCTGTTTTAAAACTGATCATGTGACATGGTATCTAATAAGCAATCATAACCTAAAACATTTAAAGTTTTGAAATTCTGTTTATATCTATGATTTTATAGCACACTCAGCTTTATCTCCTAGGTACGAGCATCATGTAGACAGTTTCCACAAAAGTATTTGCTATAAAACTTTACTATAAATTAAAAAGAACAAAGCAAATTCCTTAGACCTTCCTATAAACCAGCACTATGTGTAATGCTAGAAGGTATTCTCTTACACATTTGTTCTCTTAGAAAAATGGAATAATGTTATTACACAATGCAGCCAAAATCATTACAAAGTGCTTCCAGGTATTGTAATAAATTCAGTGGGGATTACAAAACTTGGCTGTAATTTAGTTGTATTAAATTTTGAAGTTGTAGTATGTTCTAGTATTATATTAAAAAGACCGTATTACAAAATGTGGTTAGAAATGCTTTTACAGAGAAGGTTGACCGAAATTTGTGGAACTGAAACAGCATATTTACTAATGTCTTAACTCAGCTAAGATCTTTTGCAAAGTATCATTTAAATTCCCTGTAAACAACAATGTGAATATTTTCAATTTTCAAAGTGATAATACAATATGAAAAAAAATGAAATTGACATTCATTAAATATAACTACATAGGACAAAAGAAAGTAAAAATCCTTTAAAACATTGTGCAAAGGCTTTCAGAAAGAAAGCAAAAGTAAGAAATTAAGAATTGACTTCTGTCACCCGCCACATATAAACAAATTTATCTACATTACTTTGGACTAACTTTATACTGACTCTTACCCTTAAAGCTTTACTGTGATAAATCACTAATATATATATATATATTTTTTTTCTGAACTCATTTCAGTTTACAGCTGCTGCTGGTGTAATGCGCTGTTGGCTCAAATCCTTAAAAAAAATGAGTAATGCTTTATAAAACTAGTGGAGCAAAAACATATTTGGGTACTTCCAGCACACCTTCCATAATGTGTGCTCTGGGAAAAGTATGCATATTAAGAAAAAACCCCTAAGTCCTGAGCAGGCAGCACCCTCTGGTGTATGGACATACAAATATGTCTCAGTTAGTTTTGTTCAACATATTGGGCAAATATAGGAGGGTGGCAAGATGTGACTTTAAAGCAGCACTTCAATTCATTTCAAAAATGAAAAAATTAATATTAAAGGAACTCAAATTCTTTTCTTCAATAAATTGTTGTGGATGTTGATAGTTGTAGGCAGGGAGGATCTTCTGTAATGGTTTGTTGTTCAGCAGATAGAAGCTTCTGACTGAAGATCCTAAGTTACTGTTCAACAGACTGATGAAGAGGATGCTCACTGTTGTCCATGATCTTTTTCACTTTATGAAGAATTGTTTGTGAAATAATCTCCAGAGGTTGTAGAGGAGTTCCTAGAACAGAGCCGGACCTCTTGATCAGCTTGTTGAGCTTTTTATAGTCATTTGCTATGATGCTGATACCCCAGCAGATGATGGAGGAGGAGATCACACTCTCCACAACAGACCTATAGGTATGTAGCATCTTGCTGCAAACCTCAAAGGACCTAAGCTTCATTACGAAATACAGTTTGCTGTGTCACTTATTTAGGACGGCTTCTTAGTTGCATTTCCAGTTCATTCTGTCGTCCAGCTAAACATCGTGGTATTTATACTCCACCTCCATTTCTTCTCCAAAGATGCTAATAGGATTTAACTTGTTCCTGTTTCTACTGAAATCTACAATCATCTTTGTAAATCAGCATAATTTGGCAGTTTAACTTAAGAATCTGAAAAGGTGTAACTTTTGTTTTTTTTTGTTTTTTTTTTATTTATGAAAGTCAGAAATTATTTTACAATCACAAGATTATGTTTTTGCTGCACCAAGAGTTCTGCACCAGAAGTTTTCCCATACTTACCATTCAAATAGTTAGGTTGATTTATAGTCAGTTTTAGATTGAAACCATTAAACAAGACAAAAAAAATGAAAAATAGTAATTATTAGTAAATCTAAATGACTTTATATAAAAGCTATACATAATAAATGTATATTCTGTCATTTTCAAATTGTTTATAAAGTTAGTGTTCATACATACCAAGGCTTACTGATGAATCCAAAGGTAAAGGAGCGTCTTCATTTGGTTCCTGGCTCGGATGTCCACAGGTCACATAGCTCAAAGAGTTCATTGTTAAAATCTGACTTAATTTTTGCAGCAGTTCTTTAGGATTCGATTGAAGCCTTATCCACTTCTCTTCACACATTTTGATCAGGTCCCGAATATGCCGTGGGTGAAACGGATAGTGTGAAGCAGATGTTTCCCATCCAGGTGTTGAGATCAGAACCAGGGAATGCTTAAAAGAGTCCTTGTTAAAGAGTTCAAGAATCCTATAAAGCCTCTGCTTTTGTTGTTCATCGAGGTTCAGCTGAACAACCAACAGAAACACATGAGGTCCTGGAAAACAGAGACTGAGACAACGGCGTACATGTTCTTTAAGTTTTGGTTCAGAGATACTGGGACAAAGCAGGTCTGGAGTGTTTATCAGAACCGTTTTTGTTGTCATAATCCTTCCACAGACTTTGATGGGGAAGTTTGGTTCTCTTTCTCTGTTCAACATATTTGAACCCAGTAATAAGTTTGTGACTGAACTCTTGTCATACCAGCTGTCGCCGAGGAGAATAAGCCTCATCTCAGACACTGAAATAATAATAAAAACATTTTAGGGAAATAGGAAACAATTAGAGGGTCTTTATCAGTTTTATGATTAAAATGCAATCAAATGGAGCACTTGTTGATAATTAAACATTTAATACAATAAAACTGTATGAAGTAAAATAAAATGTTTGTATGGACACATATTTTTTTTGAAAGACCAGCTAATGTGTTATGGCTGGATGTCCTGGACATCATCAATGTTAAACATTCAACTTTTGAAGTATTTTCAGACAAACACATATATATATATATATATATATATATATATATATATATATATATATATATATATATATATATATATATATATATATATATATATATATATATATATATATATATATATATATATATATCTATATATATATATATATATATATAGATATATATATATATGCTGAATTGAAGAAGAAACCATGACTTTTAACTTCTAAGTCTTTTTTATTAGCACATTGTTCAGGGGTGCAGGAATATCATGACATTTTTCTGCATTCCAATCAGACTCCTAAGTGCAAAGAGGGCTGCTGGCAAGCCTAGACTAAGTGTAATAGTAAAAAAAGCAAGAAATATAAATATCTGAGTTATTGCTTTAACTACAAAAAAATTATAATAATTTGGTGCTTTTATATGGAATGTTGTGGAGCTATTCTTTGTTGTATATTTTCAATCACATTATGAGTACATTACTGCTGTTTGCTTTGGGCTCTAGCCGTAATATTTATATGAAAAATACGTACAGTATACGTGATAGTGTGGAGTCCTGTCCCTATGGCTCTGACTGATTGTGCCTTAGCTACTGGGCCAAAGGGTTATCACTTTGGCTCACTACTCAGCATGCATGACTTTCACCCAGGAGTCTGGAGATTGAATCTGGCCTGGGCACTCTATTGTGTACCTTTGCCACATGTATATAAACATCTGTACTGGTCATGCAATGCATTGTGGGTAACATATTTAGGATCTATTGTGAGTTCAAATTAATTAGTATGGTTTATCATTTAACAGCAACTTCAAAGAAATAAAATTTTTCTTTTTTAAATCCCAGTAAGTGAACGTTATTACAATAGCAGTTGTTTGGGCCTCAATTTGTCAGATGAGGCAAATTTCTCTTTATTTTCATCATAACATCTATAGGTACCTTTCTAGGTGCTCTGAGTTAAAACTTGGTAGATTGTTAAAAAAAGGAGGATGTTTTGTATCCCATCAAAGCTATAAGAATTACTGTCCACTGTTTGCATGCTATATCACATCACTCCCTGCACCTGAGCAGACGCCACACATTGACCTGTATGAGTACAGGTATAGTTAAAAAATATTGACAGGACTCTCCATCAATGAACAGCAACATTTATGCAATTTTTTTTTCTTCAGAATTTGTTATTTTTGTTTATATTCATGCCTTCACTTATGCATAAACTGTTCCCTATAATTTGCTGCATAACTTACTCTCAGGTAGATGGACGCTGCCGATTCGAAACAGCCCAGGTCCTCTGGCTGCAAAGATCAGGAAAATAATTAACATTTGGATAAAAAAAGAGAAGGATTAGGTGTTGGGTGGCCAAGTAAGCAATAAGTAAATTAAATATAAATGGAATAATGACATCATTGTATTATTTCTAACTGTTAAAGTCATAGTTGAGATTTTCTGGGTCCAGATGAAACAAGTGTGCTTTTTTTTCTACCTTTTTATGAAAGTGTCTTAATGTTAAAAAGAAAATCTTCATCCAAACAAATCTTCACTTCCTCAAGTTTTATTTATTCTTTTATTGTTTCATATCAAACCTTCAGGGCAAAGTTTGGTTTAAAGAACAACTTTCCGTAAACCAATAAAAGTCATATTATTTTATTACCATTTACGGTCACTGTGGTACCAGGAATTTGTACCAGTCTGAATCATAAGATAGGCTTAAAGTTACAGTGCAGATTTTGAACACATTAAATATTAACCGGTTTATCAGACAGGACTTCTTGTTTTGTGAAGAATGTGGTTAAAATGAAGCTAAACTAAGTTATAAAAAAGAAATTAAAATCACTCAGAAACTCTAAAATTAGAAGAATGTAAACAAAAGAAGTATAAAATGTTACTTGTAGATAAATAGGAGATACAATATCAACATAATAATAATACTACTATTTACACAGTGTAGTTATGTTAAGATAACTTACCATCTGATGAAGTAGCCATTATGATGCTGCCTTACCAATCAAGACCAGAAAATGCCACCCCTAAATGAACATATTAAGGATGTTAGGAAATGTTCAAAATCTAAAGATTAATAGCTTTTTATCTGTATAAGATGATTGATTGTTTTCATTTAGAGACATAAAAAACAGCAATCTATTCTCTAGCAGGCCCAGTGACAGCCTTGTCTGGAACTGGGAAAAATTACCTTAGATGGCCCCCACCTACAGGGCTCTATAACTACTAGAGACTGATTTAGTGTTTCAGTGTTTCAGTTTTAAGAGATGGTTGATACTGTATCAAATACGGACCCTTCTCATCATCTCCTCTATACCGAAAGCCTTTTTGTTTTCTTCCCTAAAAACTAGGAGTTTGTCCTGCAACCGTAATAATAATAACTGAATGTTATTGATCTCACATTGGTGAAATTTACCTCTGCATTTAACCCATCCCTTGGGGAGCAGTGGGCTGCCATCATGGAGCGCCCGGGGAGCAGTGTGGGGTGAAGTGTCTTGCTTAGAGATCCAGAGTAACAGTCTGTGGGAGTGGGGCTCGAACTCAGAACCTCAGGATTCTAAGCTTTATGCCCTGACCACCAAGATGTCAGTTCAAGCCCCAACTCCCGATTTCAGTGTTGTTTTGTTCTTAAGCAAGATACTTCCCCTGCATTGTCTACTGATGGTGGTCAGAGGGCCCGGTGGCGCCAGTTTACGGCAGCCTCGCTTCTGTCAGCGAGCCCCAGGGCAGCTGTGGCTACAATATAGCTTGCCACCATCAGTATGTGAGTGTGAGCATGAATAAGTGAATGACGGATTGTAGTGTTAGACGATAAAATAGTGTGTTGTAAATAAATTCTTGTTTTGCAGCAACAAATGACAATGAAACAAAACCATTTATGAAATAATTACTAAAATATAGTGAAAAAAAAAAAATTGGTACATGTTTGTTCATTTAAAATAAGACAGCCCTTTGTCTAAAATTGTTTTACATTCAGTTCAAAGTGAAATCAAACTGAATTACTTGTTTGTGTGCAAACTTTACAGACAGTTTATTGGGGTTCTGATATAAGGCAAAGTTCATTAAAGCTTGTTGTATTTTTCTGGAGAAAGCAGTCAGCACATCTGTAAACATCTCACTACTCAATCAATGGATGACAGGTCCTAGTATCTTCATGATCATCATCATCTACATTGTCATCACCATCAGCATCAATTTAATCAGTTCATAATTTACTCTATAAAATGCTATACAAAAATACATATGCAAAAATTGCAATGAATAAAAAAAATAATAATTGGCTAAAGAAACAAAGCAAACAAGGACTGAGGTAAGGGTTGTACTCTCTGTTATTGAGAAACAGTGAAAACAGATGTGTTTTAAAAAAAAGATTCAAATCAATTAAAGTTTCATCATAAAGAAGAAGCCTGTTCCAGATTCCTGAAGCTGCAGTTTATAAAGCTCTGTTACCTCTGGTCTCACACCAATTGTTGTAAACATCTAAGAACTTTTGGTCGAGAAATCTTAGGATTTAACTTTGGGTGAGTGGATGAAAAAGCTTGTTGGGGCAATAAGGAGCCAGGCTATCAAAACTGTTTAAAAGCAAATCTGAAGCAAACAGGCAGCAAGTAAATAGTATAAAGGTCATTTCATGTTTTTAGTTTCTTTGCACTTTTTTTGTAATTTTTTAGGTGCCTTGCTTTTTGCCTTGAACTGTTTTGAAAACATTTGAAAGCTTTTTTTTGTTTGTTTTATTTCTACTCTTCTGCAATACTCTGATTGGACCACCTTAGTTTTAACGTTACCTATCTGTTCCTAAGCTTTTGGTCTTTTTGGTTGTGCTGGTTTCTTCCATTAAATTGATTATTCAGTTTAAGCAGCTGAAATCCTGCTAAGATAACTTTGGGGAATTATACATACATAATACATAATTAATTAAATACATTTTGTTTGCTGATGATTTAATGCTCTGTCAAAAAAGCATAGCAGCTATAATTCAGGATGTCTCCATAATCAGGATCACTAAAAGGCTCTATGAAAACTTATAGCTGGAGCATTAAGGCTCCCAGAGGTACAACACTGGACACACTAACTGACTGTAGACTACTTGCATTTCCTGCTATTTGCACCTTAGTTTAAAGCATCTTAATCCAGAATTTTTTTTAACAATTTGAGAAAAAATGTCAGGTTACAGTAGAATAATCTAAAAAATGTAACAAAGTTGTTAACTTTTATCTATACGAAATTTGTATAGATGGCCGCAGTAATAAATTGACCTTCGAACTCTCACAGATATAAGTTTTTACACAGCAGTTTTACAAAGAAAGATTGGTTATTGTATTTGATTTATATTTGAAACAGTTATGGTTAAGTTTACCTACCTTGCATGAGAACTAATTCGTTTTAAGTTTTTTGCCTTTTCATGAATGACGGTCTTGGCACTGAAATCAAAAATCCTTCTCCGTCTGTCAGCAGGGCGGGAACCGAGCTTAGTCAATGTTTAACTAAGTGAACACCTCAAAGACAAGAATCATTTTACACATAATCTCAAAGCATTTTACAGAGACAATTCAATCAGATCATAAACATATATTGATAAATATTTTTTAAGGAAACCCAGCCAGTAGTATTGAGTCAGTGTCTCCACTTGGATGGGACAGTAGATACCAGCCTGCACTGCGTTGTTGACTTTAGAGCAATCCCTCACACTTAGCATCCATGCTGTGTAGGGGAGAGGAAAGACTCCATTTTCAAGGAAAAGTCTGGTCAGCAAGGAATAACGAATGGGTCATTATTTATACCTAAAACTAATAAGTTTGTGGTGATTAAATTAATTTCACATTAATCAGTAAAAAAATAAAAACAATAATTTTTGTCGCGATCACTGAGTTTGGGAGAAGCCATTTTTGACCAAATATAGCAATACCTCCCTCCTGCCATCTTCCGGCAGTCACGTCACGGTGCGGTAAGCCTAGCGCCATTCTCCCCGCTTTACAAGCTAAATCAATGGGAACTACTAGACACATCTGCAATCAACAACAATTATTGAAGATTTCCGGAGGACTTCACCATTAAAATTAACCAAAGCTATAGTGAAACTGACAATGCCCACGTGCATGGCAGCTGGATGTTGAATGTAAAAGTGAAAAGAAATTTGTTATTTCACCTTTCCGATTCCTGATCCTCCAAGGACGGGTTCTTCGTTGGATCGCCAACTTGAAGAGGGAGGATTTGCCATCGAACTTCTGGCCAGAGAAAAAACACGTCATTAATCCTTTACCCTCTGCTTCGTATAGTGGGCTGGTCGTCACCATCATGCATAATAGCGCGTTGTGAAAAACACCAGATACAGCACTGGGACTTGATCAACAGCCGATACCGCACTATGACGTCACAAACCATTAGGTGGCAGTAGTGTTCTTTGACAAACATGAATGTCTCCAGTAAAGCACATTCACATGAAATTACTCTTAATTAAAAACAATTATAATTTTAACAGTATGCAATAATTTCATATTTGAAGTACTTTCAGAAGTTTGTATTCTGAATGTGACCGGACTTTTCCTTTAAAAAGGAAGAAACCTCCAGCAGAACCAGACTCAGTGTGTGCTACCTTCTGCTGAGGTCAGCTAGGGTTCAAGGAGACAAAAGCAGACACACAAATGGAACATTGGTCTTTAAATACTTTCTATGTCAGCAAAAGTACAGTAAAATAGCTCCATATGTGTCTCTGTCTAGGAAGGAAAAAGTGAAGCAAAGTAAAGCACAGTCACAGCAAAAGCTAAGCCTATATCGTTAAATGATCACTTTTATCAATTTTATTTGTAAAGCACTTTAAAGTATCTAGGAGATAAACAGAACTAAGCACTTAAAAAAGAATAAAGTCTTTAATCTACAACTGAAGTTGCTAACAGGTAAAGTTAACTGATTTCTCCCTCCAGGATGATGTCACAGAGAAATAGATCTAAGCCTGATGAAGCTATTATGATGAGAAAAAGAAAATAGAAAATAAAGTTAGTGGTTATCTAACAATACTGCTGAATTGGAGAACAGAGACAGAATTTAGCAGAATGATGAGAAGTTGTCCCTTTGTCATCACGCAGCATAAGCTGATAGCAGCATAACTATAGAGATAGAATAACTTAAGCCCCTCTAACTATAATCTTTGTCAAAGAGGAAAGTATTTAGCCTAGTTTTAAAAGCAGATGGACAACCATGATTTAAAAAAAATATATTCTCACATTCACCACTGGTGATATGTGAGAATAAACCTTAAGTTCAACTCTGCAGGAACAAACTGTGACCTGTTCTAAAGAGATCATTTTAACAGCTTGTCTGATAAGAAAACAGCAATGAAGAAGCAAGTCTGAAGTCCGCCTTGGTAAAACTTGTAGGTTGTATAATTTTAATGGAGCTGTCGGGTTATTGCTATATTGTTTAAAGCTCTAACAAGTTAACTTTTTAGAGCTTTAAAATTGATACATATCAATAAAACAAATAGATCTTCAGTCACATGGTTAAGTGAATTATCCAAAGTCTTTTGATATTTTGTGTTTAGATCATTTCTGAATTGTTTAACAACATGTTAGGGTCTCTTTCTGACTCTTTCTGTTGCCTGCTATTTCCCATCTCTTTCTTGAGGTGGAGCCTGAGAGTCACAGGAGGCCGGTGCTGACAGGTGCTCTTCATCTGGGCTCATTATGTGGTCCATATACCCCGTTTACACTACCCTTAAAAAACTGAGCTGAGACCGGTCCGAGCTCAGTAACTGAGATAACTTGTCGTGTGTGAACGGAAACAACCTGAACTGAACCGAGATAGACATAACCGGACCGCGGTAACTGCAGACCAGTTCCCGAGGTGGGTTTGGCTCGGTTTTTTTCCTGGCTCGGTTCTCTGATAACAAGAGCGCATGAGCAGAACGCGTCATCGCCGACTGGCTGAACATGCCGATTCACACTCCATTCCAGTACATCCGCGCAAGGTTGCCGTCTTCGCCTGACCCACCGCAAACACGGAAGTACAGCAATAATAATCAAGCATAACTTT